CAGGCTAATTGAGATGCACTGTGACTCAGATCACAACATGTAAGGGGTTTCTGAACAGCAATTCAATTTTGGCAACTCCAGACATGTCCCTTTTCTCTCCACAGCCAAGTTTTACAGATTTGGGACTTGAGTCACAAGAACACAACTGTGGTCTTGCACTTTTGTGTTTGCAAGCGAGTATTTGTGTGTACCCTGCCCCGAGAGCGGAAGCACGGCTGCCCACAGAAGTATGTGTCAGACCATCTGATGTGTTGCCACCATTAGTAACAACAGAAGGAGGAATCATGGCTGATTTGGGGTTTATTTCTGTCCTCGCAGACATGTGCTGGGCTCGGATGGCTCAGGTAAACTTTCCACAACACACACTGCCCTGAGGAGCCGCTAGCTGCTACTGTGATCCAGAAACGCCTGCAGCTACAAACACCAGTGCTTCTCTCTGACTTGTCTCCTTATGCCCATGTGTTGTTGTTGTCTGGCTAGAACTGCATACAAAAGCGAAAAGTGATACTGAACGTTGGTAAGTAAGTGAAAAGTGGTCGGTGAAAATGATGAGCTTTTTCTAACTCATTCACAGATTTTTTAAAGAGATTAGATTGGTTTTGTGATTTCCCACATGTTCTTTCCCTGTGCCTGGTAGATGCTGTTTACAGTAAACAGAGTCATGTTGTGCCAAGGCCATCTCAGGAAGTGCTTCCAGGAATACACAGTGTAGAAAAAAATTATGAGAAAATTAAAAAGACCTGGGGTAGTTCAGATGTATAAACCTTGCAGATGCACATTAAAGATGCAGTTCCCACACAGTGATATTTATGAAAGAGCACTTTTTGTTGTTGTTCCTTTGCAGACGTCTGCACTTCTCTGCTCTTTTCACTGATAGGTAGCCTATAGTTGTGCAACAGGCAGAAGTATTGATATGCAATTCATATTATGTTTCATTTATAAAACTTTTGTAAGATATTTTATGTATAGGAATGCATCAATTGTTATGTCCATAATTGGGGATGGGGACAGAATATTATAAAAAAAAAAAAACAAGTGCGTATGAGTAATAGACTCCACTGGTGAATCATGTTCCTTACTGTACACTGAGTTCCATAACTCCTGGGTCCCTCACTCCTCTGAGGCCTCCTGTGATGACACCTGAGCACATTGCTCATTTCAACAGTCTGATAGATCAACCTGGGATAAAGCTGCCCAGGGGCTTTTCAACACAACACCCTGATACTATTTTCATCTGTTTTCTACTCCGAAAGGTACATTCAAGTACGGTTAGATTAATGTCACTCTCATGCGGCGCAGACCCTCCTCTATCAACTTAATCTATGTCTAGTTTGCAAGCTTCAGCAGCTTATAATTTAATCTCCAAAAGAATAAAAATGCACTGTGTGAGCCTTACAGGGACATGGCACATTATCTATCCCTGCAGCTTGTTTGGTAACCTGAAAAAGATTGCCCATCTGCTCTACAAATATTACTATGTTCATCATTTTATCTTTCTCCAATGAGGTACATTGAAAGAACATGTAGCAATTTTAATAAAAGCTATAAGCTTTTAAACTCAGAATTGTAATTCACCTAACATGACATATTATCAGGCACATTCACCTATTTTTTTCCATTGGAGTTTGAAACTAATCTAAATCAGAGAGCAAATTGGCAAATGTAAATTCAGTATTCACACTCCTATTGGCTCCAAAAACTCCTCAGATGCTTAATGTTCCACAGTGTTTACCAGCCAGTTGCTAATATGTCTGCCTCCTGTTTTCTGCTGAGCAGGCAGCATACAGTTGGTCACCTTTTTGACTAAAAACAGCCGCCTGTTGCTGCTGCAAAGATGGTAAGAGTGAGCCATACAATAAATGTGCTGCAAAAACAAAGCAATGAGCTGAAAGACAATCAAACAACTTTAACTTACTAACTAACTAACTAAGTTAATGAAACAAAATCAACCACAATCAATAGCAAGATGATTGGGCTTGATTCAATACAGTAGGTTTAGAAACCCAATCAGTGATTCACAGCTAATATGCCATGCCTCTTCAAATCTATATTCTGTATAAGTAACCTGTTATGCATCTTTGCTTTCACCTCAGACAAATCTCAGAACTAACTGTGCGTAAGGGAAAAAGGGAGGGGAAACATTATTTGACTCAGAGCTATGTCAGATTACACCCAAGCAAATCTGCCTGTCACTGGCTGGACAAGGCTATTAAAAGCACATGCGTGCCAGAGGTGTTCAGGATGATAAGGGCACACCACTGACTTGCATTAGCTTCTGGAGAACATTTTGCTTGGTGATAAAATTAGAGTTTGTCATCTACTGTGGGCTATATCCACACATGATGGGATGTGACTGGACTGAATGGGCTTTTGTAGGGTCCTGTTGAATTTCTGGTTTGGGGTAGTGTCAGGATAAGGAGAGTAAGAATTAACTACTGACAACTTACTTGTTCTTTTGGACTTTAGTTGTGTTTTGCTAATAACAGCCTAGAGGAGAAATATACATGCAGAATTACTAATTAATCAGTTCTGTGGCTGACTGAAGAAAAGCAAAATGGCTGTCATGTGTTTGTAAACACTTTGAATATTTACAGTGGATTAACACGTCCAACCGGTCACCCCCACCCCCATCAGCATGAGTAACAAACCCTGTAGTGCCAGTGTTTATAACTCTTTTTTTTTTTATCTGGACCCGCACTTTGTTCTTTTCAGCTTTAGCTTCTCGTGCTACAGACTGAGCTACAGAGACTGATGTCTCTTATCGCTCATCCTGCCTTTAGCCATTTATGTAATCAGTTTGTTCCAGGGATTTATTTTGTATTGCAGAAAGCGGCTCCACTCCTGGGCCAGTGGCTCTGTCTACTAAAAGCATTTCTCCTGAGGAGGATTTGAAACTGTGTTGTCATATGCTTGTAGCGAGCATACACTGACTTGTAGTGTTGAGCTACAGTAGTGCACTTGCTCTCTTGCTTGACTCACCACACGTGGTGACAATAAAGCTGCACACTGTGACATTAAAGCTCCTAGAATCATTTATCCATCAAACACAACATCATTTCTATGATCTATTGGCAATATTCCCTGTCTGTCAAAACTTTCGATGTTATCACTTACCCCTATAGAAGTATCTAACCATGCAGACAGTTGAATTTTCCGAGTTTTTTAAATATCTACATCTGCCATTTCTGGCAGTAAATGGAATTTTGATTGTTGTGCTCAGATGGGGCAATGAAAATCTGCCCAGGGGGGTTTGTCGGAACCATTATGAAAAATATATGTTATTGAGTGAACAATCCATTATTTGATTAAAATCATTGATTTAAATGAATATATCATCATGTAAAATATCATATAGAAGCAATTTATGCATACAGTACTGATCGTTAGAAGCATATTATGCAAATGAGACTTGCAGGGGGTACCCCTCCCACCAGAGACACGCCTGCTCACAGTATTGAAAAAAATTACATACAATTACATAAAAAATACAATGCATAAAAAAATAAAAAATAAATACATTCTGGGACTTTCTCCAGAATGAGTGTTTTTTGATTACTTTGGATAATCTACAGACCTGGTTGTCAACAAATTTCACTATATCTATCTTCTACCAAACAAAAGATCCTAATGAAAACAGAAGTGATAGGATGTTCTGTTGATTAACAATAATGTGCGGAGGCTGTATCTCAGAACCTGGGTCACCCTGGTCTCCTAAGCATTACATTATTACACAACGGCTGTGCCGCCTGATTATTCTTTTATTGTTTTGTTTGTTTACTTTGTTGAAATTTCGCCTAACAGTTGAGGGATAGACAGAAAACATGGGCAGAGAGCAGTTGGGATAACAAATTGGGGGTTCACTGCAATTACATGCACCTTGGACCTCAGGGCATGGAGACGCCCCAGGATTGCACTAGACATGCATGTCTGCAAAATGTTCACAGTCAGTATATTGTTTCCATTTTCCAACAATATCGGCTCCTTGTGCAAGATTCAAATGTTTTATTTTGTATGTATTCTCTCATATATTTGTATATAGTAGCTCCTTTCTGTCCCTAATTTTCATCTTTTATCTTTATATTGTTCTATGCTTGATAAAAGAAAAATTCCTCATATGTGAAAACTTACTTGGCAATAAACCTTCTTTTACTGTTATATGTTTAGGGAACTCAAAACACTCACTCAAACAAATATAATAATTTTAGGAAATGATCTAATTAGCTTTCTTGCCGAGAGTTGGTGAGAAAAACATTACCACTTATGTCTGTGCAGTACATAAGAAGCTACCGCCAATAGCCACCTAGCTTAGCTTAACACAAAGAATGGAAGCAGGGTGAAACAGCTAGCCTGGCTGCATCAAAAGGTAATAACATTCTCCTACCTGTACCTCTAATGCTAACTAATTAACACAAGGGCAAGTAGGAGCAGAGGGGTTAAAAACTGAAACATCTGAGTGCTATGAAGGGGTCCGAATACACCTCACTGTGAGGTGGCACTTGTGTGGGCTTCAAAGACCTACTCCATCTTTGATAGCTCTGATGAGTGACATTTAGTGGACTAAAAAGCCCTCTGAGCATTCAGCATGGAGGCAGGGAAGGTGGGAGGGTGTGAACTGATTTTCAATAATGCTCACATGGCACTGAAAGCACGCCTGAATATGCAATTACTTAGATTGAAATTTGTACATGCAGCCACACAAATTGTACACAGACACCCATTAAATTGGCTTGTTAATAGGCAATATAACACTCTTTTTTGAACCTCGTATTTCTCTCCTGCAATAGTTTGTTTACTGTTCCCTATATCAGCCACATAGATGTCAAATCACTTCAACAGGGTTTTCCCTGATTTAACGGTAAGCCTCCATTCAAAGCAGCAGATAATAATCAGCCCCATCAACCATTAAGAATGACAAAGACCCACATAATGCCTAGAGCTCTGTGTCCACAGCATAATTACATAACACTTTGTCATTCAATAAATGAATATGGATCCTTTACCTTGAGTCCGGTGTATGCGAGAGCTGCTGGACTCTTTCTTCCCTTCTTTTTTATCACTGCCTATCCCCAACGTGCGTGTTGGCAGAACACAGCCTCCTTCTAGCCAATGCTAGTGTGTATTTGTATGAATCTGCACAGCTCAGAACTGAAGATATCTAGTGTTTCTGATGCCAGAGAGTGGGAGCTACACGCGGCAAGCAGAATGGTGTGAAATCATGGGGGGAGAGAGCAGCCGAGATGGATAGAGGGAGAGGCAGAGGGGGTGGAATCAGAGAGAGATGGAGGGGGACGACGGCTTTGTTTGCACAGGGAACTCTCCAAGGACAACCCGAGCACATCTGTGAAGTGGAGAAGTGCTGTTCAGTGATGTTGTGGTTGAAGAGATGGAAACGTAAATGTGCAGCACAGGAGGGAAGCTGGGGGTTGGTGGGGGGGCTGGAATAAGGCAGTAATGAAAGAACTAGCTGATTAATCAATTAATGAATTCAAAATGAAAAGTAGTAATCTATCAAACAAAAATGCAAAACAATTATAAATCTCATTAAAAAATATATATGTTGGGGATTTCAACTCCTATGCGGACAAAGCAAGCTATTTTAGGATGTTAACTTGGCTTTCAGAACTTCCAGGGGCAATAGTTCACTGTTTTCTCACTTTTTCTTACAATTAATCAGAGAGTTAATTGACAAGTTATTAATTATATTAAATTATGCAGATGCATTTGACAGAAGAAAATAAAAGAAAGAATGATGAGGGGATGAAAAACTAGAGAGCAGAGTTAATTACTGAGCAAGACTAGTATTTAACAGATTATGATATACAGTGAAATGCTTTAAATGTTGCTTTCTAATAGGGCATGCCACAACAGATTGTTTACATCTAGACCTTGCTACATGCATTTGTAAAAATTATTTTACATAATTGTGTAAAGAATAATGTGAAATGTGTGAAGACTAGTGTCCTTCAGGTCATTGCTGTGTGCGCATCTGCACAAAAATATGTTACGTAACGCAGCATCTAGAGTGTATACATGCAAATTGGCACTCAGAAGGTAAAATGGAAATCATAACATTTGTGTTCTTTCTTGTTGTCAACAGCGAGCAAATTGTTTTTCTCTCATCTCTCATTTGTCTTCATGTTTGGTGTTTTAGAACATATTGCAAATGCATGAAGCACAAACGAATTGCATTTGCACATTTATTTGTTTGTACCCAAAGACATATGTAATATGGTATGTGGCGAGCTTCAGAGCATAAAGAATGAAGACAGAGTGAAGAATATTTATCTTGTTGCCATCTGAAGAGGAAGATATGATCTGCAAGGAACTGAGAGTGTGGAGGAGGCGGCCTGGCAAAGGACAGATAATTCCTGCAACTGAATAGACAACCAAGTGTTACATAAAATAACATACACACACACACACACACACACACACACACACACACACACACACACACACACACACACACAAGCACTGCCTACACACACATGTTCTACGACTGTCCTTCTGTCTCTCTCTCTCCTCTTCGGTTTTAGACGCACTCACGCGCTCACACATTTACACCTCAGTTTCAGACATTCACACACATTTACATCTAATGTAATGAGAAACATTATTTACAAAACTTAACACAATTTTAAATGTATTTAGTACAAAACAAGGAAATCAAACAAAGACAGGCTCCAAAATGTGTTGACATACAATCAGGCTTTTACTCATGGCTGTAGTAATAACAAGAATGGCCCTTGATCAATATTACATTACTGGAATTTATGTTGTACACACAGTCCCTATACTGGATATGCATTGACAGGCAAGTGTGCATGCATGAAAGAGTAGACAGAAAAAAGACCTTAATAATGTTTTGTTCAATACTGTCAATTATTAAAATAAGCAATTTGAAACTCAAGTGAAGAGGTGAGAATACAAGAGAGGAGAAGAATATGGGGTGATTGACACGATCAGATTCTAGATGAGAATGCAAGGTCCTGACATTATCCAGTAGTTGTGGGATTTTCAATGTAAAACCTGATGAGTTAGTTAAACTCAAACTGTTTGAGGAAACCCATGTCCTTAAACCGTTTAAGTTTATTCCCTCAAACAATTTAATCATGAAAGATAGTTGATTCGAGTAGAATTAACAGGTGTTGAGTTAATTGAAGTTTTACTCATATGCAGCATTTCTCCAAACTTATTTAAAATGTGAATGTAACTTAAATGCATCTTCTTTATACAAACGTTACCACTTAAGTTGAATTTACGCTGAAGCAAATTACATTACATTACCTGTCAAAACAGCAAACAATTTATGATGAATTAGATGCATACTTGAGCTTATGATAAACTGAAATAAAAACAAATGCTATGCTATAGAGCATTATAAGGTTTACATTTTTATAATGATATACAGTCTACCTAAAGAAAATGAGTCAGTGGAACATTTATGTTAACGTGCTTCTTTTTTTAAGATGTGTTGTCATATTTTGCAGTGTTGTATATTCTAGTGAAATTGTATATGAGTACAAAGGTACATCATTTGTATATGCAGTTAAATTCAAGCTGGACCAGAAGTACATGAACAGAAAAAAAAATATTTGTAACTAATTAGCAGATTTGATCATTTATACCCACAGTAGTTTTATGGCTCATTAAAGCAAACAGCATCGGAAGAAAAGAGAAAAAAATAGAACAGTTGTGCAGCTGTGTCACTTCTGGTCAGAAGTGACACAGCTGCAGGAAAGGGTTAAGTCTCCTTTTCACTTGCACCTGCCAATTATGACAAATGTATCCCCTGAATCACCTATGTGGTGTAAAAAACAACATATAAAAAGCGAATGTCTTTGATCATATACCTTCACAGCTGAAAAAGAAAGTTGTGGTGAGCACAATTCTTTTTTTCTGCCTGCTAATGTCATCCATCAGTGGCAAACATTACAGTGAGCAGAAACTCAAACTATGTGTAATACAAAGCCCTTTTCAAACACAAGGAAGCAGGCCACAAAGGGAGCGTGATGAAAAGTGTTCGCCCACCTAGTTGACCAGGGATGTGTCACCTTCATGACGCTGCAGCTGGAGCTGTGCTTGTATCGTAGATTTCCCAGTCAGACAGCGTCTTTGTTTCTCTCTGTCTCTCTGGATGACTAATCGGAAATCCTCTCCCGGAAGCAAGAATTTTACACGTCCTTACTTCACCCAGTAATTTGTCTTTCGTATTGTCTGACATGCACGGTCTCCCTGCTCTGTTTGGCATTTTACACATTCCAAATGCCACTTAAGAGCTGAAAAGCTAGACCTATAGACCCATCTAAAATAATTTGCTTCCAGTTCATCAACCCTGCACTACTTTACCAAATCATAATTTAAAATGATTCAAAATGATTTTAGTTGTGTTTAACGCAGTGTATGGCTAAGATATTACCTTACATTATTACATACAAATAAACATACATTATTATGTTAATGCTAACACAATAAACTAAGATGATGAACATGGCTAAACATCAGCATGTTAGCACTGTCATCGTAAGCATTTGCATGCTGTGAAAGGTTTTTATATTTTATCATTTCCAAAAATATAATCAATTAAATTTTAGCTGTCACACACAGAGTACTGTCCGGTAGCTTTATTGGATGCTAATTTTGGTGTCAAATCCCCAGCATCTATTCCAGCTTTTTCCCTTTGGTGTTTGTGACCTTCATTTTCATTATTATGGCTCACACACTGAGGAGAGCTATTATGGCTTACACAAGGAGGCTTACAGAACTGCTCAAATAGGTTCAGGGATGTAATAATAACCCTGGTACACCTGTACATTACAAAATGATTGTCCCCAGGTCTAAATATATTCACCCTGTTAGTCATGGTTGTGTCTGTCTCCATGATTATCTCAGGCTATCAGATTTAATTTTACAGCTTCTATGCTAATCTTTCTCCCCTTTACTCACATTGTTTTTTGCACAGATGGCCTTCAGTTAAACCCATTGTATGTACCACATTATTTAGAATAGTCTCATCTCACTTAATGAGACTCAAAAGTCTATTGTGACGTAAATGATAATTATTACTAATTTTGGGACATAGAGGGTCATGTTGGGATGGCCTGGTGAACATCTGATCAGAGACGTAAACCATTTTAAGTTATTAAAATAGTACATCAGAGATAGCTTTCAATCAGATTGGTAAAGGAAAAAGGCCTCTGAAGTGCATTATGGACAGGAGTTGCCTCATTTTGCTAATACCAGGAAACTTTCCATAGAAATTCTGGGCTATCAATACTCTGTTCACCATCACACATATTTAGTTTTAAGGGCAAGGGCAACCCTGTCTGTCAAGGTGGCAAGCTGGGCTGTGGCTGACTCAGATTCTTCCAAATCACTTGATAAAGGCACATAAAGACATTTTGATGTCATCCTGTTTACTGTAAGTCTACCAAACCCATTCCAGAGAGCACTGTGTCCAATGTCACAAAAAACACTTGATGACCCTGACAGGCTGTTTATCATCACAGTCACAGTGAGGGCTATCCTGCCTCAGTTTAAAGTTCTCATTACAGTCCCAGTGACGTGGCAGAAAGTATTTAGCTTCACCACTGTGACATATTTTAGTGGAACAATGAGTGAAACAAACAATATGGGGCCAAGAGGGATTTGATTATATCCTTCAGATTTAATTGCATCGCTTAAAAGTGAAAGTGACTCAGGGTGCAATACAGAGCTGCAGTTAGACATGGAGTTGTAGAAAACTCCATAGACACCTTCCTCACACTGCGTTCTGATCTCCTGTTGGATCAGGAGGAAGAGGATGACGGAGAAAGACAGGCTTTCTATACACGATCCAGGAGCTGGTTTTACAAATGCATACATGATTTAATCACAATTAATTGAACAATTTTAGTTAACAGCAAGGATTCTTGCATAAGAGTTTGAAATATGCAAGTTAACAAGCTTTCCAGCTCAGTGTCAGTAGTTAGCATGCTATCTTGTTTGCAAGTTAAAATGCTTGCCAACTTAGTAGCTAGTTCTAACTATGCTACAGTAGTCAGCTTACCTTGGAACAATTTCAAGTTTGGTACAGATAGTCTTGACCTTTACAAACTTTGTCACATCCACTTGAACATCCACTTGAATATAACAAACCAAAGCTGTAGTGCAGGTTTGCCACCTTTAATGTGGAAAAATTGGATTTTGAGTGTCAGATATTGATTTCCGGCATTCCAACAAGTTTTCAGATCATAGATATGGGCAAAATGCTTGTTCTGTCAAGGTTGGACAGTCCACCATATAGGCGATACAC